GTGACCCTGGGCGCGGAGGGTGCAGGCGGTTCGGTTGCTGGCCCCTCCCCTCCCCCCAAAGACCCTTCTACTCGTCGGGGAAACGCCCAATTTCAACATTTTGCCCTTACACAATACAATCCTGCGGCTGTGGAGGTCACCCAGTCCTAGAGCCCCTGAAAGGTTGGGTTGTCAGAACTGAGTCGGGGGTACTATTTGTTGTAAGTCTTGGTCACTCTGAGGGTTGGGCGTGGATAAGTGCAACCTTTTACTGTGCCTCAGTTTTGGGAGGTCATCAGCGATGAGCATGGGATCGACCCCACTGGCAGTTACCATGGAGACAGCGATTTGCAGCTGGAGAGAATCAACGTGTACTACAATGAAGCCACTGGTAATTGCCTTTACTTCCCCCACCTCTAGCTTTTTACCCCCTCTTTTTCCAGGGGCTTGACCCTGGGATTCTGTCTCTAAGGGAGGGTGGCCTAAAGGATTTTGAATTCACACTCTTTGTGGTATTTCAGTGAGCTTCCCGGTTCACAATCGAATGAACCGGTTGAGAATTGGGTGGGTCTTGTGCCTGCCTTTGTTAGGGGGCCATCAGCGGTGCCTGCAAAAAGAAAACTGGTACCGAGCCCTTCCCTTCAGAGCTCTCTGTGGGTAGGTCTAAGTCCAGCTCTGTTCCCCGCAGGTAACAAGTACGTACCTCGGGCCATCCTGGTGGACCTGGAGCCGGGCACGATGGACTCCGTCAGGTCTGGACCATTCGGCCAGATCTTCAGGCCCGACAACTTCGTGTTTGGTGAGTAAGTGGCATGGCTGATGGCAGGGGAGGCTCATTTTACACCAGACAGCTCAGCACTGAGGGGCGTGACTGCCTAGGGGAAAGTATGAAGAACATCCAGTTGTGTGCTGATTCAATCTTAGTTTAAGCTAAAACGAATTTGCCCTCCAATAGCCAGGTATTCCTAGCCTTCCTTATTTATAATTACATCCATGACCAAATATTTTAATGTCTGCACATTTTGGTGATAACCTAAATTAGTCTTATCTGAACACTGACTCATTGATTAAGGGGTTTAAGGTAAATTTAAATCCAATCCTCAGTGACTTGTGAAATGTCTTTCTCTCTGGCAGGCCAGAGCGGGGCCGGGAACAACTGGGCAAAGGGCCACTACACAGAGGGCGCCGAACTGGTAGACTCAGTCCTGGACGTGGTGAGGAAGGAGTCAGAAAGCTGTGACTGTCTGCAGGGCTTCCAGCTGACCCACTCGCTGGGGGGTGGCACCGGGTCGGGGATGGGCACGCTGCTCATCAGCAAGATCCGGGAGGAGTACCCAGACCGCATCATGAACACCTTCAGCGTGATGCCCTCGCCCAAGGTGTCGGACACGGTGGTGGAGCCCTACAACGCCACGCTGTCCGTGCACCAGCTGGTGGAGAACACAGATGAGACCTACTGCATCGACAACGAGGCCCTGTACGACATCTGCTTCCGCACCCTGAAACTGACCACGCCCACGTACGGGGACCTCAACCACCTGGTGTCCGCCACCATGAGCGGGGTGACCACCTGCCTGCGCTTCCCCGGCCAGCTGAACGCGGACCTGCGCAAGCTGGCCGTGAACATGGTGCCCTTCCCCCGCCTGCACTTCTTCATGCCCGGCTTCGCGCCGCTGACCAGCCGGGGCAGCCAGCAGTACCGCGCCCTGACGGTGCCCGAGCTCACCCAGCAGATGTTCGACTCCAAGAACATGATGGCCGCGTGAGACCCGCGCCACGGCCGCTACCTGACAGTGGCCGCTATCTTCCGGGGCCGCATGTCCATGAAGGAGGTGGACGAGCAGATGCTCAACGTGCAGAACAAGAACAGCAGCTACTTCGTGGAGTGGATCCCCAACAACGTGAAGACGGCCTGCGACATCCTCCCGCCGCGGGGCCTCAAGATGTCGGCCACCTTCATCGGCAACAGCACGGCCATCCAGGAGCTGTTCAAGCGCATCTCGGAGCAGTTCACGGCCATGTTCCGGCGCAAGGCCTTCCTGCACTGGTACACGGGCGAGGGCATGGACGAGATGGAGTTCAAGGAGGCCGAGAGCAACATGAACGACCTGGTGTCCGAGTACCAGCAGTACCAGGACGCCACGGCTGATGAGCAGGGCGAGTTCGAGGAGGAGGAGGGGGAGGATGAGGCTTAAGTTTGCAGTTCAATGCAGGTTAGGGAGAGTTGAAAAGGAAAGCAAGGGGGAGGGAGGGTTCCTGGGGAACATATCTTTGCAGTTGAAGGGAAGAAGCATGGTCTGCTCTAGGTGTGTGCGATGACTCTCTGGTGCTCTTCACTGTTGCCTGTTCTTTTGTTTGTTTTCTTTTTGTAACATGACAACATCAATGTAACATTTGAGATATTTCTGAACTATCTGTAATGGCTAAAATCACATAAACGTTTGTGTCCTAATAGTCCTCTTTTCTGTCTCCTCTTTATTGAGTTCTTTATTATCAACTTAAATGTAACTTTCAGAACAAATTATATTAAACTAGAGGCCCGATGCACAAAAATTTGTGCAAGAATAGGCCTTCCTTCCCCTGGCTGCTTCCCTCTGGCACCTGCACCCGTGCTTCCCTCCTCTGGCTGCTGTCAAGCCCTCTGGACCCAGGCTGCTTCCCTCCTCCCGGCTGGGTCAGGAAGGATGTTCAGAATGACATCTGGTCTAATTAGCATATCACCCTTTTATTATTATAGATTCTTCCTTTAGGAACGGGAAAGGATAGGTAAAAGTTCAAATGAATTTAGTCTTTCAGTGGTAAATTGAACCAATCATAGTCGAACCCAACTTAAGATGGGACATCAATCCAAGTGTTAAAATGCCTTTAAATAATGATTGAATTCATTGAAAGGATGCCTACCTGAAAGCACACTAAATGTGGGTATTTTCATGTAGAAATCCTACTATACCTCTATTTCCTTTCAAACACATCACAAAATTATAAAGGATAGAAAGTGCAAAGCAAATCTCTTCCTTCTGTGTCTTGTGGAATAGTTTCTTCCCTGGAGGGCAACCATTCTTAGCATTGTTATCTTTCTTGCATCCTTGCAGAAATAGTCCATATACTTCAAACCTATGTAGATTCTCTCACTCCCCGCCCCTTTTTTTTGGTCACACACATTATGACACTAACACACTGTTCTGCTGCTTCTTTTTTTTTTTCTAAATAGAATATCTTTAAAACACAGAGACCTTCTCTCCTTTAAATGGATGCATAGTATCCATTATGTAGTTGTACCATATTTTATTTAACCAATTTCTATCAATGGACATGTAAATTGTTTATATTTATTTCTTATAGTGCCACAATGAATAATTTTGTGCGTATAAGATGGTGTATATGAGAATAGCTGTCTTATACATTTTGCCAAGTAGATTTTCTGTCAAAAGGTAGGTGATGCTATGCCTTTTTAGGCTGCTGAAATCACCTGTACTTAGGAATAGCCATGGATTTATAAATAGTTAATGCACTAAAATTCTCAAGCAACTTTTCTTCCCAGCAATCGTGTTTATACTCCATTGCAAACTATTTGTATTTAAGTTAACAACATTTGAATTTATATGAAAGTGAATTCTGCATCAATGGAGAATTTTACTTTAAATAGGCAAGCCATAATCTTTACGGTTTATTGCATTCTTATCATGCAGAGCTGGGGTTTGGGTTTTCAACCACTAATGAAGCAGTGGGATTTCAACAAGTGACTTTCAGTTAAGATCATCTGCTTCCATGGGAGAAATTATGCTTTGTCACCTGGAGCCAGTGCACTGCCTTAATCTGGGTTAGTCAGTGTCTCGTTTAGGAAAAGAAGTGGAGTGTAAGTTACAAACAAACATACAAAATGTACTTATGTACCAAAAGGAAGAAAGAAAACTAGGTTTATGCTTTTTCTAATTTTTAGACAAATTCAAAATTAGAAAAAAATATACCACTTTAAATCTTACCCTGTATTTATTTCTTTCTACATGGTTCTTCTACTTCTACCTAAGTGTTAAAAAAAAGATAAGATGAAGGGTAGATAGGGATTTCCATATTAGAAACTGATGTATATTTGAAAACAGTTCCAAAGAAAAGTGAGTAATATCATTCATAAATAGTATGAAAAGTTAATTCTACCAAATGGCTCCCATCAATGAAAAGAGCAGCAGTTCACTTTACATGTGTACATCACAACAACTAGGCCGAGGGCCAAGCAGGTCAGGAGCTGTGGCTTCTGCTCATGTTCCACATTTAACAGTGAACTGGCAGGAGCCCAGTGTAATGCTTCCAACCACCTAATTGAAGGGTGACATTGGTTTTAAATGTCCTGAAGACATGGGTCAGCTGCCAGGGCCCCTGGATCTATCCTTGGCCGTGCATTCCCACAACCTGTCAGACATATGACCAGTCACTTTGGAGAAGAGAGGGATTGCTGCCAGTGCCCGGGCACACTGTAAGCATTGTGCTTCTCTTTCCCACCTTGTGAGAAA